CCCCCCCCCAGTGATCAGACTGCAACATTGTAACTTTGTAGCAAGTCACAAGGTGCTTGCTACAAAGTTACACCAAAAATGCTACATTGGGCAGCGTCTTTGGTTGTTTTTGTATTGCAAATGGAAAGCGAGTAACTAGAAGGAGGAGATGGCTGTCTAGGCAAGCAATTGCACATGTTTCAGGTGCTCCCATTAAAGTCTATTGAGGCCAAAAACATGCAATCATGGCCCAAAGAAGCTCCTATACTGTTTCTGTGCATTGAGCGACAGCACATCACTCACGTACACAGAAGAATACCATAGAAATCTGAATGTGCAACCTTGAAGCTGGATGGTAACCCTGGATGAATACAAGGGATACAAGGCATACTCTGATTGGATGAGGTGCAGAGGAGGGGCAGATGACGTTGCAATCTGCAACTCATCCAATCAGAGAATGACTCGTATTCATTGAAAAAATTCAAGCCATTCTCTGAATGGCGGAAGTGCCCATCGAGTGACTCCCCATGCTCAGTGGTCAGAAGGGAAGCCGCTGGAGCCGAACCCAGAAGATTGCGCCTGTCACTGTTTGTAGCAAAGACTACTACAGTTATTGTCAACAGCCCCCCCCCTCCCCCACCGAGGCCCCCTGGAGAGAAGATATAAATACTTGCATCGAGGCAAGGTGGACCAATGTAAGGTTCCATTAAAGAGAATTCCGATTTAAGGTACTCTAGGTATATAGTAAGAAAAGAAAAAAAGAGGGAAGGCTTCGGGAAGGGCGGGGCTTAGGGAGCAGGCAAAATTTGGAGTTTTGCATTAAGGAGATCGCAGCAGAAGGAATCAAAGTGATATTACTGTCAAAAGGTTCTAAGCTATTTCAAAATGCTGAATACATCACTAACAATGGATGCTGCTTTTTTTTATCATCCTGCGGAATCAGTCCTGAGCACTGGCCCTGATATCCTGTTTTAGGGGGGCTCCTTTCCCTTGCAAGGTCCTATGGAGCCACCCTTGTGTGTGCTAGTAAGCTGTGTGTGTCTCCACAAACACACAGGCACAGCAAGGCAAGACACCCCCCTCCTCCCTGCACCTCCTTCCTCACTCCTCTCTTCTCTAAGCTAGTAGATGGACAGTTGCTGGAGACTGTGTTGGAAGCTAAAATAATTGACATCTATGATACATCTTTGATGGAAAGGTTCCTTAATATCGTGAGCTGCCCGTGCTGTTTGATATGCAAATGAAGACCATCAAAGGGTTCTTGGGGCTGGACACTGATCAAAGGAGATCTGCTGGACTGTCATGTCCTGGGGCAAGCCCGACCCCCTGCTGGTATTTACTGCCCTCACCTGTGTCAACAAGGCATGTATGCTGGGATGGGGGCAGGGGCATATGATGGAACCTTCTTCCTGTGTGACACTAACCTAGCTGACAAGCAAGACCTTTGGACAAGACAAGTCTTTCTGAACTCTGCAATCAAGAATGTGATTCGCTGAGACCTGCTGGAGAGGCGTGTCCGAAGAACAGAGAAAAACCGATGGCTTGTGTGAATGAGAGAGAGAGAATGGTGTAGCTAGCTGTAGGATCCTTACCCTCAATTCCTATCCCCAATTCCCCTTTCGAATTCCCTTAATTGTAATATGTATGTATATCCCTATTTGTAAATAAACCCCACACTTATTTAAGATTCAGTTGTTCATCAGTAATTTAAGGGCACCCCCAAATCAGAGCACATTCTACAGACTGCTCTGTCCCTTGTGATCTTGTACCAGACAGAAAGTTCAGATAAGCCGAGCTGTGAGAGTTGGAGCTGTTCAGAAACATGATGGCTGTAAATGCTTGGGCAAAAATGTAAAGAAATCCATTGCTGGGTGATGTACAGTATATTTGTTTGATCTGGATTCATTAATGAAAACAGGTTTGAGAGTTTAATACTACTTAGCGACAACAGGAGTAAGACTCCATGTCAGAGCTGGGCTCTCCAACAGGACGGAGGTTCTCAAAAAGATATCGGCAGTGGCGTCACAAGGGGGGTGCGGCCCGCACCCGGTTGACACCATTGATCCTTTAATACTATGTAACTTCCAAAGCCAAAAAACGGAATCTGCCTGAAGTATAATTACTTCTCTCGCCGTCCCGCTGGGCCCAGGAGATGAATGTTAGAGCCCGGCTGTTACTCAGACGTTCCAGAATCCGCAACGATTTTCCGGAGAGCCCCCCTTCCCTCCCCGCCTACGCCACGGAAAATGTTTTACGGGAAAGAAAGACGCCGATTGTTTCGAGTGAATTAAAAACGAATTAAAACGCGGTGACGTCCCGGGGAGGTCTAATCAAATCAGCTGGCGGATGATAACGAGACAGTTGCGCTCAGGCACGAGGTTCGCGGCAACTGTTGCGTCAGTCAGCTGGAAGTCCAGCTTGGGTTGCGTTGGAGACGAAATTGGAAGCAGGCAATGCCGCGGCGTGCCAGGAAGACAGCCGGTGGGAACGGGGCACGCGACAGATCTGCCTCGATGGCGACGACATGTGCAATTTTCCGGAAGCTGCACATTATCCGCGGGGACAGATGGCTGCCGATCGTCGTACCTCTCCCTCCCCCCGCCGCTCGTCTCCTGTTCCACGTCTCATCTCAACAAGGTGCCGCTGAGCCGTGCGATCATGCGGCAATAAAATATGCCAAGGCAGCTGGCACTGCGCTAAAGTGATCCCCTTGTCTCCGCCACCTTGCCGGCAATGCGTCTTGCTAGACAGGAAACCTTTGCTGGTGTTACTGCCAACGGATAAATATTTTATCACATGCAATATATAGAACGCTCATTGGCCCATTTTGGATCTAGGCGTGTGCTCAGAGGTGCAGTTTTTTGTAGCGTTAGGCAGTTGTGTTGTCATGCATCAACATGCGTGTCCTTTGCGTGTTGACATGCATTATTGATGCGCTTCTCCAATGCCTTTTTGAATATAGGATTGGGAGAGGATCAAGTTAACAGCCATTAAGCAAGGCTGCTGCCAAAGCAAAAAACTGCACTTGATATGCATATTGATGTTTGCCATTGACTTCTATGCCCCCCCATAGGAGGTGCATAATCAGGCCTGGATTTACTCTCTCTGCTGCCCCAAGGCCAGGTTCCTCAATGAGCCCCCTTTACCCGCCAAACCCCCCCATGGAGAATGTCAGACCTGCAGGATGCATACAAGTGATCTCGACGACATCGCCAGGATTACTTGTACAAAACAAGCGGCGGCTTCCCCGCTGTACATTTAGCTCTGCTTGCCCAAAGCAGCCAAAGCAGGGCTAAATGTAGAAAACAACTTCCCGCCCGGTGCCCGGAACTGCATGTCCTGGGCATCAGGAGATAGGAATTCCACACCCCTGCTGCCCCTCTACTCCCTGCTGCCCAATTGGCCTTGTGGGATATCCGGCCCTGGCAACAATGAGACACCAAAAGGCACTGTTCATATATGGGGAACATAGACACATGCGTTTTAGCGCTTGTAAAGTAACACGTGTAAATGAGCCCCGAGTATACATTCCTATGAAGCGACTTAGGGCCCATTCACACCATAGCCAGCCAATGAGGCGGGTTCTAGCTGACTTGCTGCAGCTCCTAATGCACTTTGTGAGAAGCTCGCAGTGTGCAGTGAAATCAGAGGAAGCCATTTTAGTCCAGGAGAGTAGCCGGTACAACTGTCCAAGACTGAAGGCAAGGCCGGAGTTCAGATTTAAATTCAAAATCTCGATATCTCTGTGCTATAATTCTCTTCTCTCTATAGGTTGAACTTGATGGACTTGTGTCTTTTTTCAACCTAACCATGTAACTATGTAGCTATAGGTATCTATCTTCCATATCTTGCCACCTACCCTACCATGCTGTAGGTAATGATGGAGTTTAGCTTTAGAAGGGTCCTTGTTTGTGATCCCTGCTCATTGTCTGAGATCTTAGTAGGTTTTCCGACCCTTTACTCGTGACATGCGGTACTTAGCTCTGCCCATGTTCCTGCTTTTAATTCAGATTACCCTGTTTGGGCCAGGCCATTGAAGGATCCTAGTTTCTGGCAGGTTCTTGCCCCTGGTCAGCGTTGCTCCTCAGAACAATGGTGGAAGATCAACCTTTACAAACAGCAGCACAAAGCCCCCTGAGATTTCACGATCAGGAGCTTCGTGTTACCAAGTCCATGTGAAGAGTAGATGTTAGTATGACAAGGCCACAGTCCGCTCCATTCACCCATAGTTCTAAATGTGAATTGTTAAAGCAGAAACAGGCGGTTAGTGCTTTAACTGTGAACATTTCGGGGCTCAACGCGGCAAGCAACTGGCGTGAACTGAGAGCAAAGGAACCAACAAGGATGTTCTGATGAGCTAAACACATCTAAGTCATTTAGGCATTCCGCATTTTAAGCAACCTGCTACACTGAGGTATCCATTTCAGGATGGAACATGAACTTTAAAATGACAGTCTTCTACAATTAATAGGCAAAATCAGAGTTACGTGTTCACCTAATCTGGTGACCAATACGGCTGAGCTTTCAGAGAAGGTTCCCACAGCTGGTAGATTAAAGCTAACACAACAAGTGGCTTGACAGTTGCCTTGACTATTACCTTTACTGGTGGGCCTTTGACTTTCAAGGGGTTCACATTAACATCTGAGAAGAGACAATGAGTCACCTAATCAAGCTTGGCTGATAACAAGGTCATGACTTTAGATGCCATGGCACCCTTGGCCACAAGTGACCAGACAGTTACTAAGTATGTAATTCTATTCACCAAACTTCTTTCCATTCCTTTGAGAAGTCCCACCTACCATAATATAAGAGTCAAACCTATAGACCTGAAGGTTTCTCTAACGGTGATCAACGGTTTGGAAGCTACCAATACTTTTATGCTCTTTCTTTGCTCTACAGGACAAGCCGCCCATCACGTTGGGACCTGACAAGTTCAGGGAGATCTGGGCACACAATAGAACTGTGGGAATCTCTGGGCTGCCTTTAAAATGACTTACACTGCACATCTACTCGAATGGACTTGATGGCCGGGACCCCAACCCCATTGTCGGCTTTACAATAGTATCGGCCACCCTGCATCCTCTGAACCTTCTCTATGCGCAGGGTCTCAATGTAGATGGAGGTCTCCTGGAACTTTTCCGAGGCGCTGCCTGCTGTTTTTGTCCACCGCACCTGGAAATTAAGACAAAGAGCTCCACATTAAATTAATTGTGTGTCAATTATTTGTTATGTGCATTCATACAGCAGCAACATATTTCACAGAACTGTATAGGACATTCACATCAGACTGTGTACCAGAGGAGCTTACACTCTAACGTCCCCCACCACTCGCACACTATTATTATTATACATTTATATAGCTCTGACATACTCTGTAGTGCTGTACAGAGAACGCTAGGCCAGTCACATCAGTCTCTGTACCAGAGAAACTTACCCTCTAATGTTCCACCACAGTCACACATTTGATCTTATACATTGATATAACTCGGACATATTTTGCAGTGCTGTACAGAAAACACTGATTCATTCACATCAGACTCTGTACCAATCAGTGGCGTCACAAGGGGGGTGCGGCCCGCACCCTGGGAGACACCATTGGAGGGGTGACACCAAAATGACTGAAAGTAATTTTGGTGTCATTGCCCTATGAAAAGTCTGGCACTCGGTCAAGGACCGAGAGCACGACAGTAGCTCGAGAGAGAGAGGACCCAGAGGCATACCTTATCCTGCCGGGTGACACCCCCTCCTCTCTCTGCCGGCATCCATCACCAAGATGGCTGCCAGAAGGTAACAGCGGTACCGCGCATGACGTCATCACGCTGGTGCACGATAACGTCACACGAGTACGTGATCACGTCACTGCAGGGTGTCACCCGGTACCCGCCCCGGGTGTCACCCTGCCTCGGGACGCCTCTGGTACCAATGTCCCCCCCACAGTCACACACTATTATAATTATACATTTATATAGCTCTGACATATTCCATAGTGCTGCACAGAAAACACTGAGCCAGTCACATCAGTCTCTGCAGTAGAGGAGCTTACACTCTAATGTCCCACCCACAGTCACACACTATTATAATTATACATTTATATAGCTCTGACATATTCCACAGTGCTGTACAGAAAATGCTAAGTCAGTCACATCAGTCTCTGCGCCAAAGCAGCTTACACTGTAATGTCCCGCCACAGTAAAACACAGCTATGTCATAAAGCAATGACCCTACCAGAACATTCTGAGATTTTGGGGGGTAACATAAGTAACCAGTTAATATCCACGCATAGGGAGATCATTTAAATTCCATGTAGACAGAGCTCTGTATGGGGATGAACCAAGGGCTACAGTGCTGCAAAGGAGCTGAAGCTCTTGGTCTAGTAAGCAGCCTATCAAGCAGTAGACAAAAGATCACATGACCATTTCATACATTTTCTCCTATATTTGCTCTTAATTGGCAGTTGATAATGGCGGCACTCAGAAACCTCGGAATGCATTTTCTATGGAATGTCTAATAAGTCTACATAGAATTGATCACCACGAAGCACCATACCTGTGGTCGTGGGTGTCCGCTGACCAGACACTGCAGCACCAACGTGTCGCCCTCTCGGATGGTGTAAACCCGTTCACTCACATTGTCATTATTGTCCACACAAGCCTGACTGCCGTGGATAATCTGAGCCTGAGCCGGAGCTGTGAAGACAAGAGAGAAGAGCATTACTCCATACTGTAGAACATTCCGTGAGATGAGCAGTTTCGAAAGAGAGCAATCTCTCCAGTCATGTTCAGAAGGAAAGTTGTTACAATAGAAATACAGGTTCTGCCACTACTGACCACCTTCTGCATACTTGTTCTATGTCAGTTAGGGCCACAGAAAATATGCCCCAGAATCCCCCAGGCAAGAAAACAACTGCAATTGCACCCCTGCTGGCCCGGAATGCTTCAATAGTTCATAAGGGCACTTTGCTTCTTTTAAAATGTATATCGTGCCGAAACTATTGTTTCTAGTTTTAGATGGAGTTGGGAAGGCTTATACCACTGTTAGGCTTGTACTGCACTCTGGGCTCTGTTAGAGAGATTTCCCCTTAATGATAATGGTTTCACCAGAGAGGAATTGAGGGGGAAAAAAACAGAAACAGGAGAGGGGAAAAAAGGCTTTTTATTAGTAGCGTGGAGATCATGCACATTGTCTGGGCCTGCACTGTACAAGACAACCAGGGCAATCATGATGACAGGGCCTCTTAGCCAGTGCAGGGGTCGCACGTGACTGCGGAGAGCATCTGTAGGGATATTTAATGGAAGACACAGTCACTTTGTATAATGCACTGCGGTATACCGATAGAGGTAACAGTCAGAGCTGTGAATATCCTTCAGGAGCTTACAAAAGCTGTTAAACTGTCATGGCTTCCATCTCTGATGTCTTTTCCATAATCCCTTTTAAAGTCTATCTCCAGGAAACAAAATGCTCCCTTTGCAGTGGGGGTACCCCTAAACTGCAAGGGTTAACTGCTCGTATTTGTCTAGGGTAGCTGTGTGAAGGACCTTGTACTTACCTGATCCCTGATCCCCGGGTGGTGGGCACTCAGCTCTCTCCCCTTCATTCCAGCTTGAGAATGCCCATCAAAACTCTGTGCCCTAGCAACCAATGATGTTGTTCACAGCATCATTGGTTGCCTAGACACTAGTGGCTGGTTCACACAGTGTTATTGGTTGCTATGACACAGGCGGGCACACCAAAACAACCAATGGTGCTGTGGGTCCACCTTTGTCCTGTGTCGGGCCGCACATCATCATCAGTTTACTGGTGGCTGAGCCACACAGCATCATTGGTTGCTAGGAAGCAAGGGGGGCGCACCATAGCAACCAATGAAGCTGTGGCGCCACCAGCATCTTAGCAACCAATGATACTGTGTGGCCCTCACGGTGTCTTTGGTTTCTAAGACACTGGCAGCCCCAGAGTATCATTGGCTGTCATGAAGGGCCCATCTGGGTCCTAGCATCCAATGACCAGTCTTTAGTGTTGTAGAAACCTGCGGGTCGCACAATGTCATCGGTTGCTAAGACACAGACAGCCCCAGATTTGTTTGGCTTGGACATTTGTCATTCCTGACAAGGAACTCAGGCCAGTTGGCTCATTACTAGACCCTAAAAGGGTTCTAGCCCCTTACCAATCTGCAAAACTGAAGAAAAAAAAGTTTGGGCCTTAGATACAATTTAATTTTTGTGTAAGTTTTTTTTATGTAAGACTTTCAGATGAACTCAAATGCACCTTCAGCATCTAATTATTTTAAAACTTTGCCAAGTACAATGTGCCGTCTCTGCGGACAGTCCAAGGGGAGGAAACGTGGAGGAAATAAAGAGATCCGGTTGTTCTGAGCACAAAGCCGTTAATTTAAGACGAGCTTCGTAATTACCATTAAACACCTTCTTCATCAGGTGTCATCGATCTCCCATGGAAAAAGGGACACTACTAAATATAACCGTTTCCTGGGCCTATTGACGAGGCGTGTCTCCGGTCCCTGCTTCGGTGATGTGACACAAAGTGGTCCTGCAACAGCTCTATCGTTTTTTTCATTGATTCAATCTCCCTCTGATATTATAATGGGAAAATTGATGTGACTGCCCTGAGAATTTTCCCAGCAAAAGGATAGAAATCGCACTGAAAAGTGCCACAATTAGGGACAATTGTGAAGATGAGGAGACGGATCTAACTGGACATTGTATTAGTACAGCGTTCAGCCAATAGAGGGAATCGCTTAACCTCCCAGCCTGCACTCAAATGGTCCTTATAAAAATATTACTGCTGCAAGTTTTACTAAGTGCTGAAGGCCTAGACCAGGGGTAGGCAACCTCTGGGAGTTATGTCTGTGGATGTCAGTTTGGCAATGCCTCATGGGACTTGTAGTTTCACAGCAGCTGGAGTGCCGAGGTTTACTGGGGGATCAAGAAAACCTGACCATGGGATAGGAGTCAACCGAGTTAATGGGTAAAGCTGAACTCCACCCCCCTCCCTCTTCACAGTTTACCTACACCTTACTTATTGCCAATTGCCCCAGGGAAAAAATGATATGAGAAACTACATGGTCCATATACTTACCTGGATCCGTGGTCATGCGACGAGCTCCGCTTCAAGGCTTCAGTCCTCTGGTGATGGTGGTGAGGGCTCTTTGGGTGCCCCTGATGTTGCTTAATGACATAAACACTTCCCGTTGAGTCCATTGGTGAGATCATGACAAGGTTCTGAAGACTCCCGCGGCACAATGATGTCATGACAAAGGACTTCAACAAGACTAGTTGGTGGCAAGTCTTGATTGCATTGGTGGATCACTTCCAGAAGAGACTCCTCTTGACTGCATGGTGGTGAAGGAGGCTCCACCTTTGGGTGTCTAATGACACAAGTGCTTCCCGTTAAAGCCAATGGCATAATCATCACAAGGATTCGGAAGACTCTAGCGGCACAATGATGTCATGATGAAGGACACCAATAAGACTCGTTGGTGGCAAGTCTTGATTGCATTGGTGGATCACTCACAGAAGAGGCTCCATGAAGGGTCATGTGACCCTTGTGACCCTCAAGTGAGTAGAAAAGAGCTTAAGGAACTTTTTTTTTAAAAATTGTGAATAGGTAGGAGTGTTTTTTCAAAATATGATGTTAGAGATGTCCTTTAAATGCACAATCCCATCAAGCTGACAGGTTTGAAATGCATATAGGGAAAAAAGCCTACCTGCTCATGGCTTTGGTGTTCCATGTAGATATCTCTGTACCATACCTGTCCACCCCACTGCCTTTTCTTAGCAATCTAGGGAACCCTGGGTGACAATCCTATTTGTTTTGCAGTGTCTTGCAGTTGTCACTAGACATGCAGTTTTAAATGGTCTTCAAGGACAAACAAATAAACTCCAGCTCCAGCTAATACTTTTTAAGCAGTTATGGCAACTGTTTTTCACTTAAACCAAAAAGTGTATGCTGGACTAATCTTTTCATGTTGCAGTAACTCATGCATGCGTATTAGTGCTACACATTGTAGTGTGCTGCAATGCACAGCGTTCCAAAAAGTGGTCAAGTACGATTTTGAGCACGTTGGGCACCCAAACCCATCCTGTTCATGGGCTGCCTTAATGCAACACATGTTAAAGCATGACCTAACAAGAAGTAAATGGACCCTTAAACCATATGAATAAATGCTGACCATTCTAAGCACCCACAGTCAGTGTGATATGGTTTTTCCCAATCTCTGGAACGGTCGTTTTTTCTGGTCAGCTTGGCCTGCAGGTTAATGTGGTGGAAATTTAAATAGAGGTGTGTCATATTTTTTAAACACTGAACTCATATACTGATTATGATCATTACAATTACTAACCCAATTACCAACCCTATACCAGGGGTGGTCAACTCTGGCCCTCTAGCTGTTGTGGAACTACAAGTCCCGTGAAGCATTGCAAGAATGGCAGTTACACGCATGACTCTCAGAAGCAAAGGCAGCTAGGATTTGTAGTAGGGATGCACCGATACCGATACTAGTATCAGTATGGGTGCCAATGCCGAGTATTTTGGCGAGTACTTGTACTCGCGCCGATTGCTCCGATGCCTAGCCCAATACTTGAGCTTCCAGTATCAGGAAGCCAGGCAGCGAGTCATTACACACTGCCCGGCTTCCTGATTGGCCAGGTAGCCGGCTCCATGCTCCCTCGTCACTTGTGGTGAGGGAGCATGGAGCCGGAGTCCTTGCCAATCATGATGCGGGCAGAGTGTGATGACTCGATGCCCGGCTTCCTGATGGGTCGGGAAGCCGGACGGTGAGTCATTACACGCCCCCCAGCTTTCTGATTGGCCAGGAAGCCAGCTTTATGCTCCGGCCAGGAAGCCGGCTTCCTGGACAATCAGGAAGCCTGTCACCGTTATTATACGGCGCGTGGTTTCCTGATTGGCCAGAGAGCCAACTTCACGGTTTCTCGTCACCTGGTGACGAGAAGCATGGAGATGCCTTCCCTGCTAATTGGGAAGCTGGTTGGCGAGTCTTTACACACCGCCCAGCTTCCCGGCTAATCAGGAAGCCAGGTGGCGAGTCATTACACGCCGACTGGCTTCCTTAATGGGTAGCCAGTCAAATATATTGGTATTCGTACTCGATACCGAAAAACCCGTATGGGTGCATCCCTAATTTGTAGTTAAAGCACAGCTGGAGAACCAGAGTTGCCCTACCCAGTTTTTTACCCCATAGTGGCCATTTGACGCACCCGTATCCTTGGCCTCTGTACGGTTAATAAATATATTTGACCGGGGTCGGCAATCCCTGCACACACCAAGTGCAGAGCCCAGGTGAGGAAGATGCTGCATTCACTGGTAATACATGTTAATAATTGATGGTGTTGAGACAGCGCTAGACGAAGCATCACTCACACAGCATCCCGCCTGACAGTCAGGAGAGTTGGTGCCTGGGGACCGAGCCCTTTCATCCTGCCAGTTAGAGCTGCAGCTTGTGTTATATAAACAGGCCGCATTATTATTATCCAAGCTGCGTACAAACCCCCCCTTGCGTTCCCTCTCACGTGTCTGTACCCAAAGACACACACCTGTCTCTTAACTGCTCATTATCAAACCCTCGCCTGACCCGCAGCTCTGCTCCGACAATGTTGTTTTACTTTACTTTTGAAGTCTATGCATTTTTTTTTTCTTTCCTCCGGCAGCGAAA